CATCAGGAATTAACCATGATAGTTTCTAGGGGGAACCGCGAGGAAGTCGACCTGGTTGGGTATATTGCTAGCAATGGGATTCTCAGTCTCCATTACTAACAAACCCTTCCCCCCTGACTATCGGGGTTTGGTATATAATATTATTTTGAGATTTTCTTTTCTTGAATTTCTTTTGCTTCTTCCTCTCGTCGCCTCACGCAGCATGAAGGTGAAAGGAATAGTGACAGATTATATCTTATTCTTGCCGTGTGGTCCCGGCATAGAATGGGCCACCCCTTTCTTTTCCATGGGTGAACGATGGACGGGAAGTAGCGTCCTTCTTAACCAAATTCTAACTACGATTTCCAATACGTTTGCCAAGCGTGGCAACTAGAAACCCCCCAAGGGGGAAGCTTATGTTCAGCAGTGCACCGTTTAAAGGTAATATGATGATAATGACTATAAATTGATTAAATAAAAATTCATACATTCACGTACACAATCTCTTATATTAATAAATACAATTAGATTTATTATACAGCATCATTTACACCCCAACTAAGCAGAAATTGTAGTATAGATTAAACAACTTAAAAATAAATAATATTTTTTTTTGTACATAATTTACGTTACTTGATATAATTTTTCAAAGCTTTGTTTCAAGTTTTGTTCTGATTTCTTTTTTGTTTTTTTATTTTTCTGAAATAGCTCATTAATTTTTGACGATTGAAACAGTAGTTTTTTTTTGTCGTTACAGAGTGAAATCTATTTATCAGAATGTAGCAGACAATTTTGCATTATATATTAAAAAATATATAAAGCAAAAATAGATTTTTTTTTCTGTCTGGCACTGTATTTGAGAAGTTATCAAAAATCTTCCAAAAACAAACTTAGTTATGTGTGGTTCAGTTATGATTCAAAATAAGAAATTAAGAATTTCACTATTAATAATAACAACTACTGAGTATTCATTTTAAGGATTTTTTTTTTACATAGCTAATAAGAAAAATAGGAATATTTCAGAAATGCAATAAAGGTCATTTTATGTTATGCATTTGTATGGATCTCTAGAGGTGTAAATTCAACTCGTATCTGGCTGGTTTTCTTTTCTTTTATAGATATATTTATTGTCAACTATTCAAAAATTAATGACAGCAATACTAAAGACGAATCTAAATAGATTCACATAAAAACATAGCTACTTTCACAGTCGGCAAAAAAAGTAGCTGAGCTGAGTACTTTTAGGGAACGAGATATTTCGTCGCGGCTGCTCGTCATCAAAACGGAATAGCTCTAATCTGCCAGGTGTCAGCGGAAATTTTAATTATATTCATCACAAAAAAATACTAGGCCGCCGCGAATATTTTCTATTCGAGTGAGTTCTTTATAACTATAATTATTTTACTTCACGTTTTAAAGATATCTATTAAAAACTAATTAATGAATTACCTGCAGCTTTGTGTGCGTAATTTGTAAATGTTTATTGTTCGGGATACAAAATAGCTTATGTACTTCTCTTATGTAATTTAAATAGTGTGTACAGACTTAAATACATCATAAAAATTTGTTGAGCCATTAACCCACCAAGAGATAGCAAACAAACTCACTAATACATTTACAAAATTTGTGCAGTATTCTGCGGCTTTGTCCATATGAATCAGTATATATATACACAGGATGCTCTAGAGAATATTTGACGTTCTAAAAGAGGATATAACCTATTCATGTACCAAATTTCATTCAAATCCATTCAGTACGTTGCGTGAAAGAGAAACAAGTCCATCCATTTAAACATCCTTATGAACTTCCACATTTATAATAGTAATAGGATATTTGTTTTATTTTTTTATGCAACTTAGAATGGCAAACAAGCTGACGGCCCACCTGATGAAAAGTGGGCAGTACCATGGACCTAACAAAGTATACTGTTTCGTCCATAATACTCCCCATGCGTTGCCATACCTGAGGACTCAGGTGTTATTGCTCTGTACCCTGTAAATTTACTGCCATATCCCACCCTTTAAACCAAAACACCGTGCAAACACAACTGCTTCACAGTAGAAACAAATAGTAAAAACAAAAAAGATTTTAATACTTTTAAATATTTATTTTGTTACGATTGAGGTCGGAAGCGGTATCCAAATAAGCAGCAATCGCTGTTTAAGAGTTTTAGCACTTTTTTTTAATGAATGATAATGGAAATTGCAGCCCCGTCAGCGCTAACGGTATACACTGGCAGGGCACCAATGAGGGTGGACAGGTGAGAATGAAGAGGCAGGTCCGTTAGCCCATCGTAATGAAGACATCTGGGATTCAGCGCGATGGTTTCTAGGGATCACCACGTGGAGGTCGACCTGACCTGATTGCTAGCAATAGGACTAGTAGTTCGCGTTACTAACAGTATCTTTCCTTAGTTTTAGCACTTACCTTAATCTAAATAAAAGAGTTATTTTTGATTGATGAAAATGGAACAGTACTCGTATTCCCGTCTGTGCTATTGGTATACGTTGGCGGGGCCCCAGTGAGATGATGAGAGAGAGTGGAATAACAAGTGAGGATGGAAGGAGCGTAGTTAGTCCAATGATAAGAAACTAGAATGATGTAATGATACGCAAGCAAGTTGGTTAAACATTGATTTATTAATCGAAAGAATAAATAGAACGAATCGTTAACGGCCAGTAATTACAATTTTATTAGTGGCCTGTACGCGAACATAATACAATACAGATGGTTTCCAGGGGAAACTTTGTGGAGGTCGACCTGATGCAACATGCCTTATATTGTTAGTAACGGTGTTGTAAGAGTACATTACTAATAATACCTTTCCCCCTTACATAAAGGGTCATTAAAGTTGTATAATGTACAATTTTTTTATTTTATAAAGATGGTTTTATATACCGTACGGGGGACCCTAATACAGGCCGATTGCAATGACTCCACCCTAATTGGAATTATCTCGGTGCAAATTTGAGGCTTTGAATAATGACTTCGTTAAACGAGCGCTGTAAGAGGATTGCTTCAGGCTGCCTTTTAAATGTATTATACGAATTGTGGACGCTTTATAGTTAGGGATTATAGTTTAAAGTTACTTTTGGACTTTTTGTCCACTATTGGTTAGGATTAGGCGTGGCTAATGTTGGTAATGCTTCAATATTTATATATGGGGTTCTTTTGGACGTTATTATCGGAAAAAAGCTCATTACCCATTCCGATATTGGCCGTACCGATCGGATAGGTATCTATATTAATTTCCATTAGATTGATTTTATTTTTTAAATATTGGATAACAGACATTTAACATATTGATTATTAATATATATATATATATATATATATATATATATATATATATATATATATATATACAGATTTTTTTTATACAACTTAGAATGGCAAACAAGGTGACGGCCCACCTGATGGAAAGTGGTAACCGTCGCCTATAGACATGAGCAGTACCATGGACATAACAGAGTATACTGTTTCGCCCATGATACTCCATGATATATTTTTATATATTTTTTTCTTAAATATCCCCATGTACAGACATTGTCTTATAGTAGTTACGATTTTATTATGTTAGTAAGATTCTCTGGCTATATTGTGTCTCATGAAGATGGCACTAAATTTAATTTTAAAGTCAGACACTTTAAAATTCAATTTAGTGCTATTATGACTACTATGTACTACTATGACACATCAAAATGAATTTTATAAGTATCTCCAGAAAAGAGAACGACCACAATTTGTTCATTTTTGTTTTTTTACATTCAATATATTCGTCAAATATGAATTTTTTGGTAATTCTTAATGTAATATAGATATATATGATATATATATATATATATATATATATATATATATATATATATATATATATATATATATATATATATATATATATATATATATCATATATATCTCACGCAAAAACACGGCACAAAATTGGAGGCGGTATTCGAAGTTACATTCATAAAGGTCTAACTGAAAATGTAGTGTATTTTTACCTTGTTATGCCATCTAGAAGTCAAGGTCATCCAGAGGTGATTTGTTTCATTAGGTTTCCTACTAATGAAAAGCATAGATATGAAATAGTTACGAATTGTTTATATTATTACAGCACAAAATATGTTCTTGAACTCTGTATTACCAATTATTAACAATTTTATGCTGAGACCATCAAATCATTTCTTAATCATGTTATTATAATAAGTATAGGGTCATCATCGACAGAAGGGGAGAAATGTTGGGACACTTGATACCACACGACGAACTTATGAATATTATAATAGAAGGTAAGATAGAAGGAAGGAGGAAGATGAAGACCGAGGCATAGTTACATCAGGCCGATCAAGGAAGAAGTTGGTGTCGTGTCGTATCAAGAGGTGAAGAGACTCGCTGAAAATCGTAGTGAGTGGCAAGAGTTCCACCGACAAGAGCGCAGCTCTTAAATAGGATAGACAGATAGGGTCATCACCATTTTAGCTGTTAATCGTCGTTCGTCGTGCTGAACATAAACCTTCCCCATAAGGTCAGTTTTGCTGATAGTTGCCACGCTTGGCAGGCGGGTCGGTAACCGCAGTTCGGCTTTTAGAGATGTTTTAAGAGGGTCGCTGCTACCTATTCCTCTACCATTAAGTTTCTTTAGTCGCTTCTTATGACACCCACAGGAAAGGAAAGGGTGACCTACCATATATAATGCCGGGACTACACGGATTACAGTGTACTTAATATAATTCAAATTTGTCCAATTATTGCAAGAACTATAAAGTGTTACAATTATATACCCATAGTTTACACTATTACATTATTAATTAAACAAACTATTATTATTAATTTTTAAAATAAACATTAATTATAAAATACTAATTTAAATTATTTCATTATAAAATCTTTTGTCGTCAGGTATACAGTCTTTACAATATGATTACTTGTTGTCATGAAATTTTGCCTTATAATTACGTAAAATAGCAAAAAAATCATTAACCTTGTTCTGTGCAAACATTTATAATATTTATTTATACAGTTTTGTTAACATTCCACCATTTTCTGAATTTAGTTCTACTGGTTTTTACTTTAATTGTATTCAGCACGTTGCAGAGATTACAGGCCTTCATTACTTCCGTCGCCTCCTTATAGACATAATGATTATGCCATCTGAAATAAAATTATAAAAAAATATAATCCCATAAAAAATATTAACGTCCCACTACTAGTCACGATTCTCTTGTCATGAATGAAGAACGTAGCCTATTTTTATCAGGCCAAGCGATATGTATTAGGGTTTGTTCCCTGTAAGTTTTCCATTTCTTGCGCTAGAGTTGGTAATGTTTTGTTCTTTTAATGAACTTTTTATAATATTTTTAAGATAGATGTCAGAAGGTGCTTAAAGGACAAAGTTGTGATGAGAAATCGATAATTACTTCGGGTCGGCGTAATATTTAATGCATGGATGTAAGCAAATATGCTTATTAATAGTATTGTCATTAGATCATGCATAACATTTTTGTCGTTAAAAAGCTTCGTAAGTAGAAATAATATTTTAATATAATAACTACCTGTTTAAGATACGTGTACAGTTTAATTAAGGTTGAGAAAATTCAACAAGTTTCAGAACCATTCGGGACCCTTAATCGTGAGCGGCTGTGACGCATTTGCGTAAACCAGTGGTTATTACAATCAACTATCTACAGCACTGCCATAATTAATGCGAATATAACGACGTTCTTTGACAAGAGAAAACATTTTTTTACAGCTTCATATTTTTATAACATTTAGCATTTTACCTAAAATACTCAGCGTATAATTTAGGATTCATAATTGCCTGTGACATTAAAGATGCAATTTGACTGGCATTTAGTTTGCCAGCATCTATATAGGAACCTGGAGGTAAGAACCTGTAAAATAAATGATTAATTTCATTACAATATGTTACTATTAGAATGAAAAAATATGAAATAAATTCTTGTCACTATTTAGTAATTATTATAACATATGGTAATTACCTAATTACGTTAAAATTCATTAAAAGATAGGTAAAGCAAAAATAAATTGATTGGTGGTATATAGGTTTAATACTGTAATAATTTAGTATATAAGAACTAACAGTAAATGATAATAAAATAGATATAATAAAATCATAAATAAATAATAAATAGATATAATAAATAAATAATAGAGATAATAAAATCTAATAAAGGATCAAAGCTACATAATAAAAGGTACAAAAATCTTACCTTGAATAATTTGCTCCACCATAAACAATAGGTACAGTGTAATGTAATAAAGGATAAAGGATTTTTTCTGTAACATAATCCTCAGCTAAAGAATTTTCAAATGCGAGGTAAAAATAATAATCATTTTCTAAATCTTCTAAACAGTCGTACATATGATCTTTCGAACAAATAAGTTTACCACACCAACCATAAATATCTATCGATAGACCATATTTCAATAATTCTTTAGACAAATTCTTAGCTACGACTTCTCTGCGCCCTTTAGTTTTGCAATTCGAAACAAACCAAGCTGCTGCCTTTCTTTTGACCAGTAATTTCTTTCTAATATTGTCAGATGTTGGCAGCATAGGATTAATCCATTCCATGTTTACTTTTGGGCCTACTATATTACCTTTTTTATCCAAAACAATAAGATATGCACCAAATATATCTGAATCTAATTTATATGTCCATGTTAAATTATAATAAGAATCATATTTTGGAAGTATCACAGGAAAATTGTCAGCTGATTCTAAGCCGACGAAAATATATTTTTGATGAGGACTCCTTAATATAGGGTTATAATCCCAATAATTTTCGACGTCGAACAAAATGGCGTCGAAATATCTTATGTCTAGAAGTAGACTTTTGTCGCCAGTGAAATAGCAATTTCTATATGTGCAGTTATATTTTAGAAGAGCCTCTTGTCCATTCTTAAAGATCGGTGAGTCGTAATGTGAGAATGCTTGTGTCCATTTGAGTATGTATTTCAAATCAGTCGGTAACCTTTTCGGCATTTTAAAATTCATGCTTATTGCTGTTATGTTGTTTTTTAATTTTCTCAACTCCCACTCCATCTTTTTCAATGTTCCTGGTGTGGGAATCATGTATTCTATTTCTATGATTTCTTCAGTATTGTTTACAATTAAAGTTTTTAATAATTGAAATACAACAGTACTGTATGCACTTATTAGTACGGCTTTTAGTATCTTAGACATGTTACTGACGATATCAAGAATGTCTACAAAGCTGCTGTTTTGTTTGTTTGTAAATTGATTCAGAGTTATGGAGTAGTCAACATTCATTGTCTCTCTACATGTACCTAAATTATACAAATGAGCACTATGTATTTTTCCTTTTGAGTTAATAATTCTTTTTGCAGAAATAATGTTTTATTTTAATAAATGGGATTATTCTTTTGCTCAAGAAAATAACTGGAAAATGCTTTGTGTATATTTACATAGATGTTCTTTTACAAACTATATTATTGATACACATACTATACATACACTTGTTTGTTAGAACATAGTACAAAATGGACTTAATACTAAAAACATTTTTGACATAAAAGTGAGTTTATTGTTTGTTCAGTTTATTTGGCACCTTAACGACTAAACACATCAATACGATATTTTGCATACACACAGTATGAGCGATCAAGAAGGGCACAGACTACTTGTTATACTAATTAATCAATATTTACTAGTCACGTGAACGAAGTCGAGGATATACATAATTAAGGAATAAATAATAAGACAGTTTAAATAGAATTTATTTTTTAAACATACAACGAGAATGTTTGCAAAGTAAAATTCACGTATGCAAATAAGCTTAAAACATTGGATAGAGCAGGAAATACGTCGGCAATTATACTAAACAGAATATTAAATACGAAATCTCTTTGTGTGCGGTACCCGTGAGCCAGTCGGTCCTCACAGTGGACAGTATGCAAATGACAACAAATAGACAAGTGGCGCCACCACCTGCAGTGGTTGTGGCAGGACTTATTCATATATTTAAACATACTTTTTGTTTTTTGTTTCTTTTCTTTATTTACTATAGTACATATAATAATCTAAGTATTAAACCAGCATAAAAGATATTTTATCTAATCTATGTAATTAATATTTTAATTAAATATTTCTACTGAACAATGTTATTTCAAATGTTTTTTACGTCGCATTTTTAATTGCTTTGTCATTTAGTACTAAAATAATAGAAACCACATTTTCTTTTGGTATACGAGTGAATGGATATTTTGTTTAAAACACTTCATTATTCTGTCGACGATAAAGTATTTTTTATATTTTATTTGGAATTAGGCTTTCTTTTTTTAAAAAATAACGTAATAAACAAAATAAAAACACAAATTTAACTGACCGGTTGGGAAGGCTGTCTTATATAGATATACTGAAATGATAAGCAATTATATGCATTAGCCAACAGATCTTTGAAAAGAGTAATAATAAAGTTTTCGAATCAAGCTCTTTACATACTTAGCGTGTTCCCAAAGTTTTTATTAGCCAGCAAGTAAACGCGCCGGTATCTTTTTAGAAATCGAAACCCCAAAATTCACAGTTTGCCAAACTTTTTTTCCGCACCAAAAGCGAACCGTTGAATATTAGCAAAAAGTCATTAAAAGTAAGGGTGCTGTTCATCATGGCGAAGCCTCAAAGTCGGTATTAAACGCCAACTTGGTGGGACCTTAACTTATAAAAGTTCATTCATTTAACGCTTGCACGCGTTTGCCAAGCGGCGGCGGCGACTAAACTTCAAATTATAACATTACGTTTATTAACATAGATATGGATTGAAATAGATATCGCAATTATATATTTCTAGCTCTGAGAAACCTCTAATGTGTATTTGTGTTTCAATTAAAATAAGTATGAATAAATGTTTGTGTATTTTTCTTACATTATATGATATAGGGTATATATATATATATATATATATATATATATAATGATCTATATAATATATACATATAGGTAATAATAACACTAAGGATTTTCTGTTTTCTGGGACATTTTCTGTAAGAGATTATTAGCGATTAATTATTATTAGCAATAAGACTGTCTTTTGTATTTTCGACTACAACAACTATTTTTATTTCCTACTTCATGTAAAATACATCAGCATTGGTGCAATAAAATGTTAATAAATAAATAAAAACAAAAGATACAAGATGATTTTAATTGAATATTCCTAAACTAGTTACATTGAAAAGTACAGAAGTTTAATAAAAATAATATCACGGCATTTTCGAAAGGTGAGGTTGGCATGAAAGGGAGTTTTGAATAAACGAATGTTTTCTTTTTACATATTTTATGTTACACTGAGTTACACAAAATATATAAAAACATTATTACAAAATGTATAATAGGGAGCTAACAATACATTATCTATCAGTAGCAAAGCTTTCTTATCGTCATAGAAAGATGCTTATTAGTAACATGATTAGTTTTTATTCTAATTGATAGACATGCGTTGTCTATCGTTATCAATGTCTATGTTTGTTATAAATGACTATAGGTGCTTTTATGATTGTTATTCGTAAACTAAACAGGTTTAATGGCATATCATTAATTTTCGTAGTTTTTGTTTATAATGAAATCTAGCTATAACAAAAGGTTATAATAAATAATATATTATTATTAATGCTAAATAAATCTGTGTTTCTTTTTACAGATAAAAATAGAATTGCAACGCCGCCTGAAATGAAATGCGGATAAAGTTAGATCAGTTAGTCTGTCGTGACAAAATCGGGAATTAACTACGATGGTTTTCAGGGGGGATAACACGAAGGTCGATCTAATGGAATATATTTTTAGCAATAGTCCTCATTACTAACGATGTTTTTCTTTTTACATGGGATGATTTACGAAGAGCATATTTGTTGGGATTGTTCTCAGGTTACTTCTTAGATATTCCAAGTACAGATTATCAAACTGTATTACTGATATTTGACTACTAATACCCCCTAAATGACTTTTATAAAACGTTTGTAAAGATTTTTTCTAACTTTCATTTTTAATTTTTTTATGTTACGTCATAATTTTGTACTTTAATATATTTAAAATTTAATTTTAAACTACTTTATTTTGAAGTGCTGTCGTATTTAGAGTAAATTCTGAATTAGGATGTCTTCTTTTTCTACATAAATTCTGATTTTTTTATATAATTTTTTTTATATTATTAGTCTTATTAAATATGTGGAACAGTATAAAGGTTACACAAACAAATATTGCACCCGTGCGAAGTCGGGGCTGGTTGCTAGTTATTTATAATATAGTATTGCGTTCGTTAGAAGATATTGGCGGCTATAGTTAACGTTATGAAAATGGTTAAAAGTTTACGAAATTTTTTCCAATAGAATTTAATGGAAATGCAACTAATTGATGACGCTGTTCGAAACATGAAACTCAATTACGGAATATATGCCATATGTTAAAGTATTTTATTTAAATCCTTTAATTTTGGCAGATGTTTATAAATTTAATCACTTTAAAACATCAATTTCGAATAATGTTTTATTTATTGTATGTTAATTTTTTTTTATACAACTTAAAATAGCAAACGAGTTGACGGCCCACCTGATGGAAAGTGGTAACCGTCGCCTATAGACATGAGCAGTACCATGGACATAACAGAGTATACTGTTTCGCCCTTTGATACCCTCCATGCGTTGCTATTCCTGAGGACTCAGATGTTATTCCTCAGTATCCTGTAAATTCACGCCAAATCCCACCCTTTAAACCGAAATACAACCATGCAAACACAACTACTTCACGGTAGAAACACGAATGGGACAGAGGTACCCAAGCAATCGACTTTTGTACAAAGTCTCCCTCTGGTAAATCGACGATACGTAATATAAAAATTTTGTTATGTACTTTATAAAATATTTATTAATGTGATTGCTGTGCCCTTCCAGAGATCATGTTGATTCTTTACTTTTAAAAATTACTTAATCTATATTGTTACAACATGAAATAGCAATAAATAATTGAATTGAATTGAATAAATATTAAAGATTAATAATGTATATAAATAAAATTAAATAATATTATTTCTATCATTAAAAATTTCATTTTTATATCAAAGTATTATTGAATAATGTGCTTGTCTAAAATTGATACATCTATTAGTTACATTTTTAATGTAGGTTATCAATATTTGTATTTATATTGTTGATATGCTGAAATAAATAAAACTAAAACTGAAATAAAAAAAAAATGTCCAAATTTCGATTTGTTCCTTTCTATATAAAATTGTTAATAAAGAAAACAAGCAAAAATCTATTTATCTCTAGCTATACCAGCCCTTGTTGCATCCGTCTTAAGACACAGCCATTCTCTTCAACTTTTCATGCCACTTGTACCCACTTTGCATCTATCCTTTGCCACTTGCCACCACACCTAGTGGATACTTGGTTCCGGTTTGCCGGCGAATGTAATCATGTTTTGCGTAGTCGACTAACAAAAACAATAATTAAAAAGTTGGTTGGGAATAAAATAAAGACTTTGTTGTGATGATTTTATCAAAATTATAATATACAAAAAAAAAATGCAGACGTATTAAGTAATAGTTCGTTTAATAGTTTTTATAACAACTTACCCATACTAGTTTATTTTTTTTTTAGTTCGTTGGTTCTCAAATAAAAATATCTGTAGCATATTTTAGAGACATATTTTAAAATAACTTTGTCCGATATGACGAACTCTTTAACTGTGATATAAATATTTTATCCTCACATACAACCGTATCATAGGATATTTCTGGAAAAATCTTCCAGCCATTGACGGGTTTCATTGAAATTCTGTAATTCGCACAACTTTTCAGCCGGTTTCCACGCCATCGGCTTCCTTTATCCTATTAGTGATAATTAAATCGAACTCCGGATTTGTATTCAGAGGTTTAAATTTCATTTTCGTGTTAATTCCAACGAAACTTTCAGAACATTTTAATCCGACCGCAGTACTGTTTCATTATTGTATGGCTTGGTAATAATTATAGCTGTACGATTCAATTGGTTATTGCAGTGCTGTGATAAAGGTCTTTGCTCCAAATCAAATAATGAGTAAAATAAAAATAAATATATATATATATATATATATATATATATATATATATATATATATATATATATATATATATATATATATATATATATATATATATTACTCTGTTGACTTTTTTTTAGTCAATTTATTTAACATTTGTATATTCGTTTTAAAGGCAAAAATTTATTCTCCAATTTATCCATAAAAAAATCCCTTATCCATAAAAACGTCTCATAAACCTATTTTAGCTGTGGAAGTGAGGAATAACACCTAAGTCCTCAGGAATGGTAACGCATGGGGCGAAACAATATACTCTGTTATGTCCGTGGTACTGCTCATGTCTATAGGCGACGGCGTATATAACTTTCCATCAGGTGAGCCGTCAGCTTGTTTGCCATTCTAAGTTGTATAAAAAAAAATCTTAATTTAAAATAAAGTGTTTGAAAGTAGTTTATCATAATCATGGTCTTTGATTTCTACTGTTACTTTATTGGTATTATAATACATATATTACCGTGTATGTATGTATGTATGTATTTTATGATATGTGTTACAAACATTTAAATTTAATTTTTTTATTTTATTTAATTTAATAATTGTTTAATGTCTAATAATCTGTAATTCTCTATTGTATTTATAATAAAAAAAAAGTTAAAATGGTTTTAGTTTTTATAATAACGAGGTTTGTGTCTATACTAGGTACGCGACATCTTTGCATGCTTATGCATCAGAATCATTTATAAATCAAAGTTTTAATACAGACAAAATAAATATCAAAGTAACCACAGTTGATATTGCCACATTTATTGTTTACAATTAATATAACATAGCTTTATACATATATACTCACACACACACATACTCACACACACACACACACACACACATACACATAGAGAGAGAAAGAGAGAGAGAGAGAGATACGTCATTTATAATGCTCATATATTGCTGCTGTCCATAAATAAGTAATTTAAATTTATGACGATTTAAAAAAAGGTATTCTGCAATATTCCCATCACTGATCTTGTCGTTTCGAATCTTGCCTGCTCCTCACTTTATATCTTTTGAATATGAAATTATCACCTCCCCGCTGAGTCAGCGGGCTTAACTTCATTTTAATAAAAAATGGACGACAGAAAAATTACCGACTTGCCAATGTCTCGGGCGCTGAGCGAGGGCTCTCTGTCACAGCATTTTATTGGACCGCTGTTTTTTGAAATCATGAGTTGGTGTTTTATAATCTATTGGATTGTACGAGTACATGGTGAATTCAAGATCGTTAGTGACTTTAGTGGACAGTTCTATTTACCATTTAATAATTAGTAAATGAACATTTTTGAAAAAATTAAACGTGGGTCGAAAAATTACAAGAACATTTGATGAACACTACGCATCTAATTGATAAACCTATGAGGTTATGTTTATGATACTTAAAATGGCATATACGGTAACGACCCACCTTCCCGAAAGTAGTAACTTTCGCCTGCAGGCATGAGTAACACAGTACCATGGCCATTACAAAATATACAAGTCGTCTGCTTGAATACTTTTGTTTGATTCATGTTTCTATTGTGAAGCAGTTGTGTTTACATGGTTGTGTTTTGGTTTGGAGGATGGGATATGGTAACAAAATTATAGGGTATAGAGGCAAACACCTTAGTCATCAGCAATGGCAACGCATGAAAGGTATCATAGGCGACACAGTATGTTATGTCCATAGGGCTGTTCATGTATACAGACAACGATTACTACTTTCCATCAGGTTGGCTGCCAGCTTGTTTGCCTTACATAACAATTGAACGCGCCTTGTTAAAATGGGAGGCTCAAAATATTCAGTCGTTTGTCAACCCTTGTTCTTTGGAGAAAATGTTTTGTTTTACTAGTAGAAAACTCCTTTCAAAGAACGCTTACAATTTTAGTTTCACCCTGTATAGATATACGTATACGCATTTAATTAGAAAACAGAAACAACCATTACAAACGATAAAACTAATTGAGATATTGCAAGTGTTACTCAAAGTGCTCACATTTGGCGTTAATCCAAAAAATTAATTGGAGACAAGTGGCTTTAACGCTCCAGCGCTCGAGCCTCTGCTCAGGCAGGCAAACGCTCGGGCGGCGCGTTCGTGTTGAGTGTAATTAGTGCAATCAGTGTGAATCACGTTTAGTCGAGTGCTCGTTGTTGTGTCGAGTGTTCGGCCATTACGCATCGAGATGCACTTCGGTAGTCCGCGAATTGAGCATTGAGATTGCGCGGTTTATGTTATAGTTTGAGAGCAACAGACGGAGACTGTACAAAAGTCGTCTGCATGCGTACGTCAGTCAGGTAGATTGGGGGGTTTGCCAGTAGTTGCCACGTTTGTCAGGCGAGTTGGCGATCGCTGTTAGGCATTGGTGATGACGACTAAACAAACCTAAATGAAATTTGGTACATAGATAAAGCATATTCAAGATTAATACGTAACATAGTATTTATTAAAGTTCACGAGAGCAAAGCACTAACTAACTGCACTACTATACAGCTAGTTTTCCTATGAGAAGATGCGATCTCTATCTAGGTACTTACAGCATTATTATCATCATCACTCATCATCAGATTATTATAATCATCTAATAATCTAAATATTATCTGCACAGATAATATAATACAATGATAATCCTTATTGTATTATATTATATATATATGTAGCTTGGTCCCTGTTAATTACGATAAAAGTGATACCCTTAAAACGAAAGGATAAAACATACAAAAAATAATTATTTTATTGCGGACAAATACAAATCATAAATTTATACAAATAAACCAAAATAATACTAACGTTTGTTATATTTTATATAATTATTTTATAAGATTCTATATAACCCAAAAATAAACTATTATCAGCGAAAAGTATGTGATAATAGTTTTCTGAAAGTATCGAAAACATTTTTGAAAGTCCTCACCCTTGCAGGAGGAAATAGAAGATCTAAAACCCCTCTCTGATATTTATTCTTCTTAGGTTTATTAGGTATGGCCTCGAAATGATTATTGCTATGTTCTTTTATAGTTTTTACCATTATAGAACTAGTTGAAGTAGGCTCTTCTGTTTTGAACTGCATTTTATTTAAATAAGCAGAATTAAGTATATACAATGGAGGTGGCGGTGAAGGGGTTTCTCTATTTATATGAAAATCAACGTCTTTTATGGTGGTCAGAGTTTCCTCTTCAGATATTAAGAGTGTGTTTGTGTATATGTCATTGAAGTTGGCGGTCGATGGTGCGAAAAATTTGTTGTAATTATATCCATGAGGGTCGTCGATGGAGTCCGCTTTAATTTGTATCTGAAAGAATATTTATATCAATCTTTATTATACTTATTTTCCTTACTAATATTATACTATAAATGTGAAAGTTTAGCATTTTTTTTTTCTTCTACCTAAAGGTTGTCTGGAAGAGATTGCTTTAACGATAAAACCGCCTTTTGTACTTCATAAGTGTAATATATATTTATTTTTAAGTGGGGCAAAAAAGAGTAAATAAATAAAAGTGAAAGTGAGTTTGATTATTTATTAACTCAACACTCTAACGATTTAATCGATCACTTTGAAAGGTTACTTTTTATCACGGTTAAAGAACATATCCTGATCATGTGGATGATGATGTGGATAAAAGTTACTAAATAAATAAATAATGTAATACAGATTTTTTAATGGATGAATATGAAATGGTAACCCCGCTTGCGCTACCAATATATATTGGTGCCTAGTAACTAGACCAGTAAGGGTATAATCTATCATAAGTTAGGATGAAATCTGGTCTGTTGGCCTATTATGACGAAATCAACAAGAATTAACTACAATGATTTTCAGAGAGAATTTCTTGGAGGTCTACCTGATAGAGTATATTGCCGGCTATAGGAATGTTAGACCCCATTACTAACAATCCCTTTCTCTCCAATGAGTACAGGTTAGAACAGTATAAAAAGAACTTAGCTTTACACTGAAAAAGTCCTTTTCTTAAGTGATTTTCTAACGAAAGTTCTTCATTTAGAATAATTATAATTCCTAATAATATTATAAATATGAAAGTGAGTTTGTTTGTTTGATACCTCTTAGCGCCTCAACAGCATAACTAAATGATATAAAACTAGGTACACTTGTATTATATGACACGGTGCAGGACATAGGCTAAATTTTATTCCGCTTACACAGACGAAATCATGAGTAAAAGTTAGTTGCAAATAATTAAATAATGTTTGTATATTTTTTAACTTCCCTCCTAACTCTCTGATGATAGAAAACATCGGTGATTCGTTTGTCTTCCACCATGTTGGATTCGAATATGCTCGATATATGAGCATGTCAAGTCGCATTCATTGTAATGGTAACACTCAATAATTGTGTCAAGGCTCATAGTTATCAGTTATTTATCTTTTATTTTGTAGAATTCTGAAGGCTTGAACTAAGAACTATGAGTAGGAAGGGGACAACAATACGATACAGCGGCTATCAATAAGAGAGCTTTGACAGTGGCGTGCGGACGTTATCAGCTGGATTTGTGTCCCGTCATTGTTGTATATTCTATTGACCTGTTTCTATACAAAATGATATATGAAAGTAGATATCTTTGATTGATACTAACTTTGTCTGTGTCCGCACTTTATAAAACAATAGGGCGGAAAATTACTTAATTTTCTACCCTAGAAGTTTACTTAAACTTTTTATTTTATAATAATTTTGAGAGACGTCGATTACGTATTAAATAATAATGCAAATATGTTTGATACTGGTGGATATAAAAACTAATAAAAAAATAATAAAAAAAAAAAATGACAAAACTGTTGTTAATTAAGTTTAAACTTTTATTGGCATTCAAAACATACAGCTATAAAGTAAAAATACTCTGGAAGATTTGACCAATTTGAAAATTAAATAATTATGTTGATACTTCCTAAGAGAAGGTGAACAGTTGTAAAGATCAATTATAAATTGAAACTCCCCAAACCAAATTGCAGATGGTAATCCTAATTTAACATTTCTAAGGACTATTTTGTAAATGAATGAACGAATGTAAACTTTTTATTGTTTCTCTTAAGAAAAATGCAGTTACATAAAATATGTAGATAAAAAATTAGCATTAGGTACCTACAACAAATAAGGTAAGGAGATAAAATGGACGGCCTAATCGGTTAATAGCGATCGTTTGCAATGCAACCTTAATGGAAAATTAATATATGTATTAGATTAAACACTGTTTACTTTTAGATTTAAACACAACGTATACACACATTATTATTTTTACTCTGGAACATTCTATAGTTTTCTTTCAGCTTCCTAAAGCTTCTTCTTGACTGTAAGAGATTTCTCTATGGAATAAGTCCGCTGTTGTATATTAAATCTTTTAATGGAGTCCAATGTAAACTATATACGATGAAGATTTTACAAACCAATTGAATACTGTTTTAGGAAAGATGTAAGATTTTCAGATTAGATTTGACATTTTTGGGTAAACATTTGCCTGAGAGAGAAATTTTGGGGAGAAATATAATTGATGTGGACAATTTGGAAATTTGATAAGTAGAACTATTATTTGAGGAAAATACTTTTTCTTCAAATAATAAATATCGTATTAGGTATTTGAAGAAAAATATTTAAAACTAAATAATTTAATACATAAAAAAAAACATGCAGTAAACGAGAGGAGTATAGCAAAAAAATTTGTAGTTACTAGAATGGACATAGAATTAATATATTTTAAAAATAAATAATTAGTACTTACGAAAATCATTAGAGATATAAGGAGAGTTCCACTATGATACATCGCGAGGTATTACCAATACGACCCCTAAGACAACACTAAGACACGATGTCATTGTCCGTCTTTCTATTACTAACTGTGGGAAAATTATGCTGATTGTTATAAATGACTATATGTTGTTTATAGTTAATTTCAATAAGATAAAAGTAAACAGGCCATTGTGTAGACTTGCAAATTTACATTGCAATATTGTTGTCAGACCCATTGTTAAATTTGAAGTGGCCACTTGTTTACTATATCGTTGCTAGAAACGTAAAATGTATTAAGCGTCAATTTGTTCAATATTGAGTTATAAATATCATTGAATTAAGATTTTAACAATATCAAATGGTACATTTAATTAATGAATCAGAGCAAGTTAGGGCAATTGAGCAAAGTCACAAAATGACCAACCATAGAGTTTTCTATTTTATAAGTGTAAATATAATCAGACGGGCTGTATTTTTGATTGCCACCTTCGTGGTATGAAAAGAATACTATGTATTTTGACTAGTCGTTTTTTTTTGCTCTCTTGTAAAATATAAATTCTGCCATGTCCTTTGCTTTGTGAGTCCATAATAGACCGGCTATTTTCCTAATGTAGACAAAATAAAAGATGGAAGGATATTCCATCTTTTATTTTGTCTACCTCTTCTACTGACCCGTGGGTATCCCTCTGTTATTATTCTTATACTTTTATATATATAAATTTAAATTAGACAAGATTGTACATAATCTGGTAGTTATATAATCCTCTTTTGATCGCTTTCCTTTCACTCGCTATTTATGAATAAGAGTGAGTATATTTCTATAAACCTGTAAAATATATTCAAGACAGTCTAGTGCGAGGGAGCGGGTCTAAATTCGTATTTGCCTCCAAATAAAAGGAAGCGGCGGTAGCGCGCGCACCAAACGTGCATTGCGATATGAGATGTGCGTGTCCATTTTTGTTCAAGACACGTGAATACTTTATTTTGAAAAATCTCTACTAATGTTATAAAAAGTAATAATTGAATTATTTGTTTGCATGTTTGTAATAAATTGGTTTAAAAACTACTTAATTTTAAAGATTCTTTCATCATACCTTTATAGTAGAGTCATTGAAGAACCGACAATCTGTGCGAAAGAAAGGCTCTGGTATGGAGATCCTGTATAGGCAAACATAATTTGGATAACATCAGATTTTTTCGTGCAACTTAGATTCTCAAATAAACTAACGGTCCATTTCATGGAAAGTGATATGTAATATAAAAAAGTGCCATTATAGAATTGGTTTTGATACCCATGATACTCTTTATGGTACTTTTCCTGAGAACTTTGATAGAGAAACGACATCAAATGTCTGTGCAGGGAATTAGCTGTATGTGATTTATGACCGTTACTTTATGGTAGTCTGTGAGGTGGCTTGTATGTAAAGGTGGTTCATTAACGGTTAAAATAATGATGATAATGCGCGGATTCGAGTTAGTGTTATATATTAGTAAAATTCACCTCTTGCAGTGAAATATTTTATAAAAACCGTGTCGCATGTTGCAGTGCAAACGAACATCTTTACTACGCTTCGTAAGGATGCTTATGATGCGGTGTTGCAGTTTATTTAATTTCCTCAAAGGCATTACGTGGAAAAAGCATGTTTTCAAGTACTCCCTCTCGTTCTAGGACGTAGGGAGGCAGTGGAGGGGCACTTTGAACGGGTTTTGCATTGCTACTAGTAATAAGAATATTAGATGCTCATGAAAATATGAGGGATTGCTAAAAATATAAGTACGCAGTTATAAAAATCGAGAAAATAAAATTTAATAGTTATTTCAATCTAAACTAATATAACAAAAAGGAAAAACTTGATTTTTCAGTGTAATAGATAATATAAAATAAAAAATATTTAGAAAAGGGATTTTAAATTTTTCTTCACTTACAGAAAGCTACATTAACAAGTATTAATATTAAGTCAACAAAACCAGCTCTAATTCCAAGTAATTCAATATGTTACTATAATTATTTGACATATTTTTCACCACATCTGCCCTTCATATGCTTTCTGTATTTACCTAATGGTTAGCTGGTAGAGAATGCCATATGGTATTAAGCTCGCCGTTTGTACAAAGGTTTATTGTGCAATAAAGAATAAATAAATAAATAACAAGGGTGGTATTGTATTAAAAAAAACCTGCGAAGCCAGAGCCGGTCTCTAGTCTAAATATGATGGGACAATGGATATGACAACATTTTTTATACTGTGCCACCTCTGGGGTCTCTCGTATATTGCAACTCCTGTACTAAAATTATTAAACTTTTTTTTTATAAAACTTAGAATGGCAAACAAGCTAACGGCTCACCTGATAGAAAGTGGTAACCGTCGCCTATAGACATGAGCAGTACCATGGACATAACAGAGTATGCTGTTTCACCCATGATACCCCCCATGCGTTTCCATTGCTGAGGACTCAGGTGTTATTCCTCTGTACCCTGTAAATTCACGTCATATACCCACCCTTCAAACCGAAACACAGCCATGCAAACATAACTGCTTCACGGTAGAAACACGAATGGGACAGAGGTATCCAAATAATCGAATTTTGTACAAAGTCTCCCTCCCCTCTTAAAGCGAAATAAAAAAATTCTGTTCAAATATATTGTTATAAATATAATATCTACATATTGGAAGATATTAATGGGCATACAGCAGGAGTTTTGAAATGTGAAATTTTGCTGCTCAGTACTTCCTTATATAACGTTAGTGAATGTTAAGAAAGAATTTCTAGAAATTCTCACGAAAACCGGAAATATGAGAGCCGCTGAAAAGAGTTAGTATCATATATATGCTCTCATATTTCCGGTCCATATATATCGTGTCTCATATATTTTTGATTTATCAACCAACGAACAATTGAAATCGTTGGTTCCAGAAACTTAGAGTTAACAATTAAAAAACAGTAAGAGCATCATTTCAGAACAGCTGGACTTATTTGGGTAATGGTATACATAATTAGAATTATTTTGTCTAATTCCGCTATCAATACAGTAAACAAAATGGGAGGTAAAGAGGTTTCTTCAGGGTCAGTATCGCGCGCGTAATATCTGGTATTGCAGGCGTTCACAGGCGACGGTAACCGCTTACCATCAGGTAGGTCATATGCTTGTTTACCACCTCAGTGGTATAAAAAAAATATTAAAATAATAAAAAAAAATTAAATCATTTTAATCAAATAACCAGTGATATGAACTTCCGCAAGACAACATCTAGTTCAGTAAAATAATTGTTTATAATTGTTAGGACAATCTTTCAAACATATTCTTTGTTTGTATGAAACATAACTAAATAGGTACTGTTTTGATACCTGTTTTGATTCTTTAAGTAGTGCAATAAAGAGTAAATTAATGTATAAATAACAGACTAATGACCTATATAAACATAGAACATATAAATTTCATACAGCTATTCAAACATATGGAAAAAATATATGACGGTGCAAAGCCAGGGCGAGCAGTTAATTTTGAATATAGGTGTTTTTATGACGTTAATATCTACAAAGCCATGGTTTTCCGAAATTTCAACAGGGTTTGTGGGTAACGAATTCCGCGCGGCAGAAGCTGCAGCAAATAACTACTCGTAATCAAAGATGAATAACTGCTTTTCCGCTATAATAGGGACATCCGTGAACAAGGAACAAGATGGCGTCGGTCTTGCTTAACCAGTAATCTATGCCCTGAACACCTTTGTCCATAGACTAAGCAACGTCGATTCATGGCAATACAATAGAGGCAATGCATCAGGCTGATAGCTTGTGGCTTAATCCTCAGATGTGTTTAGGTATACTGGATATGATATGGACGTGGAGTTAAATAGATGTCGCGTGTATCTATTTAAAGTCACAATAGAAGAAATTATAGATCCAAAATGGGTACAATAAAGTTTTATTCTTGTTACTATTTTAGGATCACCAAAATATCTGTATTAAAGTAGGTTGAAAAGAATTTACTTTTATTAAGGCTAAATTTAGAAACGGAGTTTTTAAGTTTTACGAATATATCTGTTGAAGTTTAGAACATAGTTTTTTTTTTTATACGTTATCGAATAATAAATAAGTTGAAAGACTACCTAGTGGAATGTAGTATCCGTGGCTTATCGACACCTACAGTTACCATGAAAATAATAGAATCGTAATCTATGTACATGCCCCTGGTACTATGCCCCCTAATGCATTACTATATCTGAAAACTAAGTTCTTTTACCACTATTTACATTTGCTTAGTTCATATTGCTCAGTTATTGCCATTACTTAAAACTTAAAAAAGGCAGTTTTCTATCTTAGCATAAAACAAAACAGCAATAGTATAAAAGAGTTTAGTTTGCAGCCTTACCTTATACTATCTTTAAATTACTTTCATAATATCTCGTTAAATAGATTATTAATAATGCACTTAGTTTATATAAAGATTCAGATACTAGTGTCATCTATTTCCATCTGTGTCTGTGGGATATGGTTATATTGTGAAGCGTGTAGGTAATCAATCAGATGAACCGCGGGTTTGATTATCCCACGATTTGATATCAATGACCTGGAATTTGGGTTCTTACGAGTAATATTATATCTATCTTAACGCCAACTAACCTGTAGGGGGGAGAGGTGATGAGTAAAGGTGATGTTAGTCCTCATTTATCATAGAATTAGCTGATGCACCATTCTATATTTATCTATAAAAAAGCACATTGTAGGATAATCCTCTGATACTGAGATCTGAATGCCAATAACTTACTTTGTTTTATTTGAATGTGAAATTATTAATATATATCCTAGTATTAGGTACAGATTTAACATATAATTTGATTTAATTAATATATATATATATATATATATATATATATATATATATATATATATATATATATATATATATATATATATTTTTATATTATATATAATTTTTAATTTGCAAAAGATTCTTTTTTTAATTATACAGTACTATCATACCTACTTGTACAATAATTAGTCCTTTACCTTAAGGTTGTCTTGAAAAGATTGCTCTCAGTAATAAGACCGCCTTACTGTACTTATACAATTGTATCGTTGTGTTTGTA